GCCTCCTGAAACCTACTGGGGCTTCCTGGGGTCTCCAGGAGCCTCTTGGGACCTCCTGGGACCTCCTAGGAAGGTTTCGTGCCCCAGGGGAGGCGCAATCTATAGCAACAGACGTACATAAAACATTGCGGATTAGAGCCACAGGAGAAGGGCAATCTATAGGAACACGCGTAAAACACCAAGGACTCGTGCCCCAGGAGAGGCCCAATACATAGGAACATGAGTAAAACATTTAGGATTGTGTACACAGGAGAAGGACCATCTATAGAAACATACGTAGAACATCAAAGAATCGTGCTCCAGGTGAGGCCCAATCGATAGGAGCATACGTAAAACACATGGGATTGGAGCCACTCCTGTTGCCTTCTGAGGCCTCCTGCTCCTGGGGCCTCTCGGGGCCTCCTGTTGCCTTCCGAGGCCTCCTGGCGCTTCCTGTTGTCTCCTGGGGTCTCCTGTGGTTTCCTGAGGCCTTCTGGAGCTTCCTGGGGCCTCCTGGAGCCTCTTGGGACATCCTGTGGCCTCTTGAGTCTTTCTGTGGCCTCCTGATGCCTCCTGGGACCTCATGTGGTCTCCTGGGGCCTCCTGGAGCCTGTTGGAGCCTCCTGTGGCATCCTGAGAAGAATCTGCGCCCACGAGCCTGGCCACCAAAACTAGCAAACCGATCGAGACATCCTCAAAATCTGGCCCACCTGGGGAGTGAAAATGAGCGCCTCGCTCGAGACATCCTCCAAATCTGCTCCGAAAGCGAAGGATGTTGGGCACAGAAACAAGCAAACCGCCTGAGACATCCCCACAAAATGGCCGCGAACGAGCCCGTGCAACCACCCCTGGCGGCTCCCCTTAGGGGTGCTGAAATGAGCGCCTCGCTCGAGACATCCTCCAAATCTGCTCCGAAAGCGAAGGATGTTGGGCACAGAAACAGGCAAACCGCCTGAGACATCCCCACAAAATGGCCGCGAACGAGCCCGTGCAACCACCCCTGGCGGCTCCCCTTAGGGGTGCTGAAATGAGCGCCTCGCTCGAGACATCCTCCAAATCTGCTCCGAAAGCGAAGGATGTTGGGCACAGAAACAGGCAAACCGCCTGAGACATCCCCACAAAATGGCCGCGAACGAGCCCGTGCAACCACCCCTGGCGGCTCCCCTTAGGGGTGCTGAAATGAGCGCCTCGCTCGAGACATCCTCCAAATCTGCTCCGAAAGCGAAGGATGTTGGGCACAGAAACAGGCAAACCGCCTGAGACATCCCCACAAAATGGCCGCGAACGAGCCCGTGCAACCACCCCTGGCGGCTCCCCTTAGGGGTGCTGAAATGAGCGCCTCGCTCGAGACATCCTCCAAATCTGCTCCGAAAGCGAAGGATGTTGGGCACAGAAACAGGCAAACCGCCTGAGACATCCCCACAAAATGGCCGCGAACGAGCCCGTGCAACCACCCCTGGCGGCTCCCCTTAGGGGTGCTGAGTATGAGTAAGTCTGTGTATGAGTAAGTCTGTGTATGTGTACGTCTGGGTATGACTAATACTGTGTATGAGTAAGTCTGTGTATGAGTAAGTCTGTATATGAGTATCTCTGAGTGTGAGTAAGTCTGAGTATGAGTAGGTCTGAGTATGAGTAAGTCTGAGTATGAGTAAGTCTGTGTATGAGCAAGTCTGAGTATGTCCGACAGGAGGGGAGGAGAAACGAGGAGGAGGAAGGAGGAGGAGGAGGAGGAGTAGGAGGCGTCCAAGTAATAACAAGAACCCCATCTTAGGATATGGGGAATAAAACAGAGAAAAAAACTGGGGACCATTGTTTGGTAATGTTCTGACTATGCCTGCATCTGTTTTGAATCTTTTTTATTGTTCCTCCAAGCTCCGCCTGTAGGGGGACATGCCCGACCAAACCTAGTCATGTGTTTTGTTCCTATCATTCGAACTTGGAGGTCTACATTCTTTGCTGCTCGTGCCTGAAAACGGGCCCTCCACGCAATGCGAATTCCACACGCTTTGCTTAACCCCGCCAGCCCATCCAGAGACGATGCCCAGAGGAGTTACCTCAATCAGGGAAGTGGGCAGCACACAGAGAAAGGGTCCCTCTTGGAGCGCTCTTGGGACACTCTTGGGCGCTCTTGGGGCTGTATTGGGGCTCTCTTGGGCCTCTCTTGCGTCTTGGGGGCCTCTTGGCGGTCCCGGGGGTCTCTTGAAGTGTCTCGGGTGCCTCAGGGAGCCTCTTGGGGTTTCTTGGGGGTCTCTTGGGAGCCTCTTGGAGCCCTCTTGGCTCTTGAGCGCTTCTTGGGGCCTCCTGGGCGCCTCTCGGGGTCCTCTTGAGGCGCTCTCGGGGGCCCTGGGAGCGCTTCTGGGGCCATCTTGGAGGACATCGATCAAACAAGAGGGGATCTTTAATTAACGCTGCCCCTCGGGAGCCCCAAAAGTAGCCTCTTGGGGCGCTCTTGGAGCGCTCTTGGGCGCTCTTGGGGCCGTCTTGGGGCTCTCTTGGAGCCCACTTGGAGCCCTCTTTGCCCATATTGGAGCCATCTTGAGGCCTCGGATGGCCATCGGAAGCGAACAGGCGAGAAAGCAACGCACATTGATGTTCCTCATGTTTTGGAAGGATGTTGGCCTCTTCGGGGCCTCCTTGGGGAGCTCTTTGGCTACTTGGAGCCGTCTTGGAGCGGTCTTGGGGCCTCTTCGAGCATCTTGGGAGCCATCGTGAGGCATCTTGGGATATCTTGAGCCATCTTGGAGCTCATCTTGGGCTCTCCGAGGCGCTCTTGGAGCCATCTTGGGCCATCTTGGACGCCCCAACCCCTCTCGGAGCCCCCCGTCCAGGGCCGCGAGCCGTCGAGCTCACTCCCACCCGCCCTTCCAACACGTAAGTAACATCCAAGCCTGACCATGTTCAGCGGTCGACTTTGGATGGACAGCTACTTGGAACCAAAGCCGACCCCAGGTGCGCGACGCTTGAGCGAGGTGCGCCACTCGTGCAGGGGCGCCACGCGCGCCAGGCACCCCTGGGGCCCGAGCGTGCCAGGCACGCCTGGTGCTCCAGATGCGCCACGTGCTCCTGGCGCACACTCCAGCCGCGCCAGGTGCGCCACGTTCGGGACACGTGCAGAGTGCGTCAGGTGCGCCTGCCCACTTGACAGCACATATCGGGGAAGATGTCGGCCCCCACCATCCTTGTGGAAATCCAATGTCCATCATTGTGTCTGGTGGGCCTGCGCACAGCAGGCCACGCGTCACCGCCCCCGCCGTCCCGGTCAAAAACCACTTCACAGCGATGCCGGGGTGGCCGCGCATGATCCAGATTTAGCCGCGAGGCGCATGTTGTATTGTCTTCTGTCAGGGATGGTAGCCCTGCGCACAGCAGGGAATATGCTGACACCCCCGCCGTCCCTGTCAAAATCCATACAGAGAGCTCGCAGGCCTCACGAACATGACTCAAGACTTTGCCCCAAAGTGTACTTCGTATTGCTTTCTTGACAGGGATGGTGGTGGTGGGCTGCATCGGGTTGGCCATGCATGCTCCAAATGTGAATGCAGAGCGCACTTGGTATTGTTTTTTGACAGGGGTGGTGGGGGAGGGGGCGTATATCAATGGGGAACAGTGATAAGCCCATCCCCGAGTGGGAAGAGGGGCAGATGGAAGACAAACCACCGTAGACCACCTACGCCATACGCCCTAAAGGGCTGGTAGGATTTACATTGTCAGCGGCGCGCAGGGTCTGTGTTCACACAGCAAAAATGGGAATGTAAGACGATGTTGCTTGGCAGTCGCACTTTCAAAATCCCTTGTCACAGTCACGACCAACAGTGTGAGCCACAGGACGTCAGCGAGGAACTGTTCCCCGAACCGTCTTTTGAGGAGGGGGTCGAGGACTTTTCCGACCTGCAGGAAGAGAGGAACACACTCCAACGAATGGCGGCTGACCTTTGGAAACAGGTCAGTGTCGCAGGAGATGATGGTCTCTTGGGCAGGCCAGGCCAGGCTAGAGCTCGTGCGCATCGGGTCCCAGCGAATTGGATCCAAACTTGCACTTTTCCCCGACGTCGGACTGAGGTGCGCCTCTCATCTCGGTTTTCTGGCAGGTATGGGCTGCCGACTCGCCCTTGACCCCCTTCTCCTTCCCATGCCTGCGTGTGCTTATCGCACCTCTTCAGGCATTGCGGGTCAAGAATGAGCCACGCGCCTTCCCGCATGCTAGTCATGCTGTGTGCTTTCTCACGGCAGCATCTCCGCTTGCTGCTTTCACGCAACTTGGTGAACGCCACGTCGTGCTTTCTCTGGAGAAACGGCCACCCCTGAGCCAGGAGAGGATTTCATGAGATGCATTCGGCCAGAAGTTCGACCTTTCGTCTCCATTCTTCGGCGCTCTTCGGGGCTTGGGCGATGCTCCTGGCCCGCACGCGGGGTGCGATGTCTTCAGGCTCTTGCTGGGTCTTGCAACGAGGCGCCAGGGCTCGCCGCAAGCTCCGTGCGTAGTGCTTACTTCCTCCGACCCAGTTCCCCCCTCCTCCCCCGCTCCCTCATCCTCCGTTCCCCCCTTCGTCAAGGTCGGCCTCCCGCGGACGAGGGCCCCCAGGAGCACCCAGGAAGAACTGGAAATCACAGACCCCCCTCCTCCTCATCTCTTTATCCTTCTCCTCGTCCTCCTCCTCCTGGCGTCATCAGGATGACTGGTGATGTGTTCTCGGAGCCAAAAGGCAGCGAGCAAGCACATATAACATGAATCATCATCATCATCATCATCATCATCATCATCATCATCATCATCATCATCATCCTCATCATCATCATCATCATCATCATCATCATCTTCTTCTTCCCCATCATCATCAGCATCAGCATCATCATCTTCATCTTCATCCTCATCCTCATCCTCTTCTTCATCGTCCTCATCCTTGGTCCGACGCGCCTTCCCACAGAGCCCACGACGCCCCTTGCGTTCCACCCGGGCGCCAAGGTGACCGCGGCGGCGACCGGGCAGATCGCGAGAGGGACCGGGACCGGGACCGCGACAGGCGGCCTGGGCAGCTCGGTTGCACGTGACAGTGACCTCTCGCCAGAGTGACCTCTCGCCCCCTTCGCGAGGTTGTCGGACGCTCTCGTTGGTTCCTGGAGCTGCGCCTGCCTCGGGCTGCGCTCCAGCAGCTGCGCCGCGCCGTGGGCGTCCCGGCGGAGCCCGCCTCGTCCCGAGCGGCCGCTGGAGACGCGAGTCATGCCCCGAATTAGGGGGACGAAGAATAACATGAACATTAAAACTCGGAGCTCCGCGGGTTTCTCGGATCGGCACTGGAACCCCCTCCCTGGCGCGGGGGGCGCGCCAGGGGCGGCGCCAGAGGCGCCGCCAGGGGGGTCCAGCGAGGATCCGAGAAATCCGCGCGGACCTCCGAGTTTTTGTGGCTATGTCATTGTTCGCTCCCCTGTGAATTCCAGGCCGGCTGCACGCGGGAGCGAACCTCCGCCAGAAGGACCCTGCGGAGGACGAGGAGGAGGAGGAGGAGGAGGAGGAGGAGGATCGAGACGAGGAGGAGGAGGAGGAGGAGGATCGAGACGAGGAAGAGGAGGAGGAGGAGGAGGAGGAGGAGGAGGAGGAGGAGGAGGAGGAGGATCGAGACGAGGAGGAGGAGGAGGAGGAGGAGGAGGAGGAGGAGGAGGAGGAGGAGGGGGAGGAGGAGGAGGATAGAGACGAGGAGGAGGATGATGCAGCGCACACTCCTGCCAGGGCGAGGGCGCGGGCGCAGACGTCTCGCTCCTCCTCGACCTCCCTCATCCTCCTCTCGATTCGACAGCGTCGTGATGATGCCCAGACAGTTCCGCAACGCGAACGTGCATTTTGGCGTGCTTGGGCATGTGAGGGAGCGCACCGACGCTGAGAACGACGTCGCGTTCCTTACAGCTGAGGATGCTTTCAACCGTAGGCCCCGACTGACTACTGCGCCAAGGTGCAAGCAGAGGGGCAGCTTCCTTAAAAATATTGGGCGTGCGCCTTCTATTCTTGGTTCACGTTTTACAGAAAATGGGAAGCCCACTGTGATTGGTGTGGCTTCCTAGCGCATGCCTACACTGCGGTAAGTGCTGTTGTCCGAGGGATGTTTGTTTGCGGCATGACGATGGAAGGGCTACAGCGAAAACAAGCACGTTGATCTAGACCGCTACCCGATTGGAGTCCGTGGTTAACGAAAGCGCGTTAAAGTAATTCGAGAGAGAGAGAGAGAGAGAGAGAGAACAACGCACCCCCACACCCACCATGATGATTTCACATGTTTTCCGGAACGCTTGTGGACTTAGTCGACACGCCTTCGCGGCGACGATTGCGAATCGCAGTGCTTCTGGTGTCATAATTCGTTTAAAAACCGTTATTCGCTTTAAGAAAACAGTTATTGCGGGTTGTCTAAACGCGTTTCTGCGTTTATGAAATTGCTTCGTTGCACGCGCGCGATGGCGCGATTTGAGCAATATCCCAGGCAATCTCGTGCGCTCCAGTTGTTTCCCAACCCTCCTTGGTTCGGCATTCGTTTTGAATAGAGCACTGCGGTCTCCAGTTATCCTCCCGCGTCCCGTCTCCCGCTCCCCTTCTTGTCTCCTCTTGCCTTGCGCGAACCTGGCCATCCCTGGGGGCTGCGATCTGCGAAACTGACGCCACGTTTGAGTGCTGCTGGTGGGTCCAGCGGAGTGAGGCACCGCGGGGATCTGAGCGAGACCTCGCCGTCCCTTGGGGGGCTGCGATCTGCGACATTGTCGCCACTTTCGAGGGCTGCTGGTGGGTCCAGCGTAGTGAGGCCGGGCGGGGATCTGAGGGAGACCTCGCCGTGCCTGGGGGGCTGCGATCTGCTACATTCTCGCCACTTTCGAGGGCTGCTGGTGGGCCCAGCGGAGTCAGGCACCGCGGGGATCTGAGCGAGACCTCGCCGTCCCTGGGGGGCTGCGATCTGCGACATTGTCGCCACTTTCGAGGGCTGCTGGTGGGTCCAGCGGGGTGAGGCACCGCGGGGATCTGAGGTAGACCTCGCCGTCCCTGGGGCTGCGATCTGCGACATTGTCGCCACTTTTGAGTGCTGCTGGTGGGTCCAGCGGAGTCAGGCACCGCGGGGATCTGAGCGAGACCTCGCCGTCCCTGGGGGGGCTGCGATCTGCGACATTGTCGCCACTTTTGAGTGCTGCTGGTGGGTCCAGCAGACTGAGGCACCGCGGGGATCTGAGGTAGACCTCGCCGTGCCTGGGGGCTGCGATCTGCGACATTGTCGCCACTTTCGATGGCTGCTGGTGGGCCCAGCGGAGTCAGGCACCGCGGGGATCTGAGCGAGACCTCGCCGTCCCTGGGGGGCTGCGATCTGCGACATTGTCGCCACTTTCGAGGGCTGCTGGTGGGTCCAGCGGGGTGAGGCACCGCGGGGATCTGGGTAGACCTCGCGTCCCTGGGGCTGCGATCTGCGACATTGTCGCCACTTTTGAGGCTGCTGGTGGGTCCAGCGGAGTCAGGCACCGCGGGGATCTGAGCGAGACCTCGCCGTCCCTGGGGGGCTGCGATCTGCGACATTGTCGCCACTTTCGAGGGCTGCTGGTGGGTCCAGCGGAGTGAGGCGCCGCGGGGATCTGAGGTAGACCTCGCCGTGCCTGGGGGGCTGCGATCTGCTACATTCTCTCCACTTTCGAGGGCTGTTGCTGGGGCCTGCGGAGTGAGGCACCGCGGGGATCTGAGGTAGGCCTCGCCGTCCCTGGGATGCTGCGATCTGCGACATTGTCGCCACTTTCGAGCGCTGCTGGTGGGGCCTGCGGACTGAGGCACCGCGGGGATCTGAGCGAGACCTCGCCGTCCCTGGGGGGCTGCGATCTGCGACATTGTCGCCACTTTCGAGGGCTGCTGGTGGGTCCAGCGGACTGAGGCGCCGCGGGGATCTAAGGTAGACCTCGCCGTCCTTGGGGGGCTGCGATCTGCGACATTGTCGCCACTTTCGAGGGCTGTTGGTGGGGCCTGCGGACTGAGGCACCGCAGGGATCTGGGGTAGACCTCGCCGTCCCTGGGGGGCTGCGATCTGCGACATTGTCGCCACTTTCGAGGGCTGCTGGTGGGTCCAGCAGACTGAGGCACCGCGGGGATCTGAGCGAGACATCGCCGTCCCTGGGGGGTTGCGATCTGCGACACTGTCCCCACTTTCGAGGGCTGCTGGTGGGGCCTGCAGACTGAGGCAACGAGGGAATCTCAGCGAGACCTCGCCGTGCCTGGGAGGCTGCGATCTGCTACATTATCGTCATTTTCGAGGGCTGCAAGTGGGTCCAGCGGAGTGAGGCGCCGCGGGGATCTGAGCGAGACCTCGCCGTCCCTGGGGGGCTGCGATCTGCGACACTGTCGCCACTTCCGAGGGCTGCTGGTGGGCCGCGCGGAGTGAGGCACCGCGGGGATCTGAGCGAGACCTCGCCGTCCTTGGGGGGCTGCGATCTGCGACATTGTCGCCACTTTCGGGGGCTGCTGGTGGGCCCAGCGAAGTGAGGCACCGCGGGGATCTGAGTGAGACCTCGCCGTCCCTGGGGGGCTGCGATCTGCGACATTGTCGCCACTTTCGAGGGCTGCTGGTGGGTCCAGCGGACTGAGGCCCCGCGGGGATCTGGGGTAGACCTCGCCGTCCCTGGGGGGGCTGCGATCTGCGACATTGTCGCCACTTTCGAGGGCTGCTGGTGGGTCCAGCGGAGTGAGGCCCCGCGGGGACCTGAGGGAGACCTCACCGTGATTGGGGGGCTGCGATCTGCGACATTGTCGCCACTTTTGAGGGCTGCTGGTAGGTCCAGCGGAGCGAGGCACCGCGGGGACCTCATCGAGACCTCGCCGTCCCTGGTAGGGGCTGCGTTAGTAACCACTACGACGCCCTTTTATCTTGATCGGGGGCCTGCGAGCCTTCCGATTGCTGCTCGCAAAATCACAGGCGTCCATGTTACGTCATCGCCCCCGTTGTAGCAATCCTGATGTACTGATGCCCCGCATTGCGCAAGGGTTGGGTACGTCGCCAGGGCAAGTATTAAAAATTGGTGGGGGGGGGTACTCTCCAATCAGTGCTTGCACTGAAGGGGTCCGAGCGGAAGTTGAAGGATTTGGCGAAAGTTCCCCGCCGATTTTGGTGGCAGGTTGGGTTCTTGGGTTCCCGGGTTCCCGGTTCCGGGTTCCCGGGTTCCCCGTTCCGGGTTTTGGGCCGATTTCGGAGGGCGGCGAGGTTCACGGGTTCCCGGGTTCTTGGTCGATTTTCTTATCGATCGGTCTCACCATCGATCTCATTACCGTCTTCTCGATCGATCTCACAATCGATCTCACTATCAATCTCACACGCGATCTGATTAGAGATCGCATGAGCGATCTCGCGATCGATCTCACTATCGATCTCATTGAATCGATTTCATTATCGGTCTCACGATCGACCTTACAATCGTCCTCACTATCGATTACGCGATCGATCTCCTTATCGACCTCACAATCGATCTCAAGATCCATAGTTTCAAGTTTCAAATAATGCGCTGATTGGGCTTCCTCAGGTGTTATTACACACGCGCTTGTTGTTATAATATGTCTTCCCCGGCCCTCGGCGGTTCCACGTCTCGCAAGTTGCCAGGGGCCTCCCTTGGGGCTCACGCAGCTGACGACAGCCCTCGGGCCACAGGCTCTAAGGAGAAGCTTTAAACGCATAACATGTCATGGGGCGGGGGTATGGGGTGGCTCGGGGCGCCTTCCATAGCGGGCAAGACGTTGCCTTTAAATGCATCAGGTCCGTCCATTGATTTTGCGTGTGTTAGCACTCCCCTGCCATTTGTACGGGCGGTTCGTCCGAGAGGGGGTCGAATGCAGGTTTGCAGCGGCTGGGGAGTTCCACTGCTGTTTGGCCCGGATGCGATAAGCTGCCGACAGATTACAAGTACCACATTCGCGTCATTCGTTGTTTTCGTCCTGCGTAGAGGTTTTCTGTTCAATTGCGCTGGGGACGGGTGGGAAGGAGAGGAGGGGGGAGGGGAGGTGGAGGGGAGGTGTGGCGTTCAT